TCAATCTCCTGACCTCTTGATCTGCCTGCCTCAGCCTCCCAAAGTGCTGGGGTTACAGGCATGAGCCACCACACCCAGCTGAGAAAAATACTGATAAGCTGTATTAAGTGAATAAACGGTATTAAAATTAACTTTCAAATTTCACATTTTTTAAAAAAAGGCTTTTTATAAATTCTACAGAAGTCAATAAACTGTATTTTTTTCTCCACTGTATTCAACATCTAGCCTCTGCAAAAATAAGGGAAAAAAACATCATCTGACCAGAGTCTTAGTCTACAAAATGTCACCGTTTTCCAAGTACTAACGACTTACTGCAGCTTACGGTAAAATAAGACCAAGTATCATAAACATGTAATATTTCTTATTATTACAAGCATTTAAGCAGTTTATATTAACTGCTTAAATTAGATAGTTTCTTGGACAACTTAATTCTGAGAGGTTAAAAAAAGTTGTAATTTCAAAATATGCTTTATCATTTCAATCTATTACTTTCAAAACTGACACTGTAAGGCTGTAACCTTGCTTGTAACATAACCTGTTTTGGGAGTTATAAATGAGGTAATTTGCCTTATATCCCTTCCCAGTACCTCCAAAAAAATGCCAAAAATCTCATGTTTCAATGAGAACCCTAGTCACATGCTACTGTCCCCACGGACATGGGCTAGAGACACCTATGAGCACAATTATTTCAAGGCTCCAAATAATCAGAATAGTCTGTTTGGGGCTGGTGTTAATGAACATTAACTTAAGAAAGCAAAGTGCCAAAATGGGGACATCTTCCATAAAACATCAGTAGAGGTTAAAGGACCAAATTTATGGCCAGATGAGAATGCTGAATTAATGTGGTTTTAAATTCAGTCATAGTCTGTTTAAAAAAAATCTCTCTAGGCCGGGCATGGTGGCTCACACCTGTAATCCTAGAACTTTGGGAGGCCAAGGCAGGTGGATTATGAGGTCAAGAGATTAAGACCATCCTGGTCAACATGGTGAAACCCCGTCTCTACTAAAAATACAAAAAAAAAAAAAAAAAAATTAGCTGGGCATGGTGGTACGCCTGTAGTCCCAGCTACTTGGGAGGCTGCGGCAAGAGAATTCCTTGAACTCCAGGAGGCGGAGGTTTCGGTGAGCCAAGATCATGCCATTGTACTCCACCCTGGGTAACAAGAGCAAAACTCCATCTCAAAAAAAAAAAAAAAACTCTCTAAAGTGTTCCATCAAGCTATCTGAGAAAGGATCTACTCAGTCAATCCTCCATCTTAGATTGGCTGGACTATAGGAAAAAGAAAAACAGTACTCACAATAATAGTAATTTCCCCAGTCAAAAGCCCCACAATCTTTTTTTTTCGGGGGGAGGCTGGGAGAGAATAACCTCTGGGGACAAATTGTAACGAATGGGCTGGGTCACCCACAGTGAGACAGTAGTGTGTGTATCATAACTACTGATGACCACTATACAGTGTTCTTTAAATTTGTGCAATGTATAAACCCAGTGAATTCTGTGCAGAATTTCAAGAAGGCTGATAAGCATACAGTTCCCTACTGGGGCAAAAACACCTTGAAGACAACCTCTGGTATAAAGGCAAGAAGTTAACCAGGCTCATCTCCCCACTTAGTGCCTTATCTTGCCATTCAAATTCAGCAGGCCACTTGCTCACTTAACATTTGCTACATCAGCAGCTTTGACGGTAACTGGTAGTTCCTAGTCTGAGTGGTCTTATAAAGTATTTCTTGTCTATTCTCAGCTATATCATTATCTTCCAGCCCCTATCCTCTCTTGACCTCAAACCTGGTACCAGGACCTAGCATCTTAAGTTGAATCTTACACTTCTAGTCAGTATTCTCAACTAAAGACATACAACAGTAATTTATGTATAAAAGCAACATTGCCTATTTTAAAATTCCAAACTTAAAAATCTCAAATATGCTATAAAATTACACCATAATTATTACTTAAAATGAAAGCGTGAGTTTAATAAAGAGCTTAAAAAGTTAGAAACAGAAAACCTTGCCGTATAAGAGGTAACTCATTGTAAAAGGCAATATAAGAAGCCAACCCAGTTCAAAAAAGATCTGTAACTGGTTTTGGTATGGGAAAAGGAACTATATGATGGAGAAGCTGGCCAGCTGCAGTGGCACACAAATATAACCCGAAGACTTCTGAAGGCCAAGGCAGAAGGACTGCTTGAACCCAGGAATTCAAGACCATCCAGGGCAACATAGAAGACCCTGTCTCAACAAAAAATTAAGAAATTAGCCAGGCATAGGTGTGGGGGAGGGAGGACACTGAGATGGGATGATCACTTGAACCCAGGAAATTGAAGCTGCAGGGACCCATTATTGTACCACTGTGCTACAGCCTAGATAACAGAGTAAGATTCTGTCTCAAAAAAAGATATAGAAATTTACAAAAGAAATATAATAACTATAGCTGACAGATACTAAGAATTCCTCAGGGACATAGGCTAGAGACACCTATAAGCACTTTACACATATGAGCCCATTTGATCCTCACAACAATTTTATAAAGCAGGTGATTTTACTATTCCCAGATGGAGAAACCAAGGCAAGATGCCGGGCCAAGATTCAACTTTGGCAGTCTGGCTTCAGAGGCTGGTAAAGTTTGGCTCTGTGTCCCCATCCAAATCTCATCTCGAATTATAATCCCCACCTGTCAAGGGAGGAAGGTGATTGCATCATGGGGGTGGTTTCTCCCATGACAGTCTCAGCATAGTAAGTTCTCATGAGATCTGATAGTTTTAAAAGTCTCTGGAAGTTCCTCCTTCACTCTTCTTTTTCCTGCCAACTTGTGAAGAAGGTGCTTGCCTCCCCCTCCGCCATGATTGTAAGTTTCCTGAGGCCTCCCCAGCTATGTGGAACTGTGAGTCAATTAAACCTATTTCTTTTATAAATTATCCAGTCTCAAGTATTTCTTTATAGCAGTATGAAAAAGGACTAATACAGAGGCTGTGCTCTCATCACTCACAAACTGCCTCTCCAAAGTGAACCTGACTCAACTGCCAAGAACCATTCTTCAGACAGGGTATCAACTCTCGTTTGTGCCAAACTTTGGTCTGAGGCACAAAAATTCAGAAACATACCATACGGTGAATCGAATTGTGTTGTTCCCTAGAAACAGGGATAGATCCTCTGTCATTTGGTCCTGACTTTTCTTGTTGGCCACCATCACCATAATGTAATCAGGAAGTTCTTCATCTATTTAAAAGGAAAGGTATATCAAAACTTTGTTTCCTCAAAACTTTCTTCTTAAAGCTGATATGCTTGAAAATATAGATGTAGCTCTAAGCTTTAGAGTCTCAGAGTGATAGTGGGATTATATTGGGCAAAAGAGCTTAGCTTTAATTTTTTTCTCTTAATTCCACAGGTATTTTAATTACTAGAAGGATGGAAATTAAGAATTAATACTTACAAAACTAGACATTCTGAATTACAGAATCAAACTTGAGTGTGCGTTCACTTCCTTGAATCTTTTTAATAATGCTTATTCATTTCAAAGAAGCTTCCAGGAAATATAGTTTTGTTTAAATTTACAATGTTTCAAAACAACACTAATTCCTCAAGAGAACATCTTTACTTTTGGTAAAGGCAGGTTACAATTACTCAGGGTAACAAACTTGCAGCAACATCAAATAAACAATAGACCCAAAAGCACCACATCATTTAAAAAACTCAATTTAAACATTAAATAATGTCAACTCCACTCACTGTTTTACCTCACAGTGGTAATCCTATAGTGATCATAAGGGTGAGGTCTAGGATTTGAAAAAAAAAAGCCAAAAAACACCATCACAGTGGGAATCCTAAGTGAAGAAAAAAAAAAATCCTCAGTAACAAGACATAGAGGCAAAAGTTGTTATTAGGAACTCTAGGCTCTGCACCCCCAAAACCCCATTAGATTTCTTTTTGAGACAGTCTTGCTCTGTCCCCCAGGCTGGAGTGCAGTGGCGCAATCTTGGCTAACTGCAACCTCTGTCTCCCGGGTTCAAGTGAGTCTCCTGCCTCAGACTCCTGAGTAGCTGCGATTACAGGTGCCTGCCGTCATGCTGGCTAATGTTTGTATTTTTAGTAGAGATGGGGTTTCACCATCTTTGCTAGGCTGGTCTCGAACTCCTGACCTCAAGTGATCTACCCACCTCGGCCTCCCATAGTGCTGGGATTACAGGTGTGAACCACCATGCCCTGCCAGGTTTTTTAATACCTTAAATACTTGTAATATTTCTACATAGGCAGAAAGGTTCATTCAAAGTACTTTCAAACATTTGTTTCAAAGAAAAATATTAAAAATGCAGTTCAAGTGTTGAGAAAATAAAAGAATAAATAAATCTTGGTTCAGCTTCATTTTCTCTGAGCTTCAATTATCTCATTCTCTGAGCTTCAATTCTCTCATCTGTTAGTCTTACAACAATCCTGACAACAAATCATTTATGAAATCACCCAGCAAATGGTGGAAAGCACTCCATAAATTACCAATTCTCAATCTTGGGCCCCTTCTCTGGTTTATGCAGGTTCTATCTACTATTTACTGTGTTCAAAATTAGAACTGAGAATTTTTAAAGTATTTATTAATTCATTAAAAAATACACCCATCACATGTTAATCACAAACCCAATTATATTAACATAAGTAACATTATTTTTATTAAAATAAATTTTCAAAAAAAAAATTTTCGCTGGGTGTAGTGGCTCACGCCTGTAATCCCAGCACTGTGGGAGGCCAAGGTGGATGGATCAACTAAGGTCAGGAGTTCAAGACCAGCCTGGCCAACATGGTGAAACCCCATCTCTACTAAAAACACAAAAATTAGCAGGGTATGGTGGCTGGTGCCCGTAATCCCAGATACTTGGGAGGCTGAAGCAGGAGAATTGCTTGAACCTGGGAGGGGGAGGCTGCAGTGAGCCGAGATCTCGCCCTTGTACTTTAACCCAGGTGACAGAGTGAAACCCCTTCTCAAAAACAAAACAAAACAAAAAAACTTTAGTGCAAAGAGTGGCCTTGTTTCATATTTTTATATATCTTGTGCTTTGTCCTTATGATTCAAGAATGTGAAGAAAATCTGGTCTCAAAGATAGCAGTTGGAAAAGAAAGGAATATTCTGACAGTCTTTTCAGATAAGCTGGATATCCTTCTGTGACACTGCACCAAAACTAAACAAGTGGTAGCTTATTAAATGTTAGAGCAATGTGGAATGTCAAATACATCAATGACCTTTTTGAACTGTTGGAGAAATCCACTGACCCATCCTACAGTTTACTTATTTATTTTTTATTTTTTAAAGATGGGGTTTCACCATATTGGTCAGGCTGTTCTCGAACTCCTGACCTCAGGTGATCCACTTGCCTCAGCCTCACCATGCCTGGCACACCCTACAGTTTAAATAAATCTTTAACCATGCATAATTTTGTAACATTACGCATTGATTATTTAGAAAATACTGGTTCAGGCCAGGTGCAGTGGCTCATGCCTGTAATCCTAGCACTCTGGGAGGCCGAGGTAGGTGGATCACCAGGTCAAGAGATTGAGACCATCCTGGCCAACATGGTGAAACTCCGTCTCTATTAAAAATACAAAAATTAGCTGGGCATGGTGAGGTGCACCTGAAGTCCCAGCTACTTGGGAGGCTGAAGCAGGAGTATCACTTGTACTCGGGAGGTGGAGGTTGCAGTGAGCTGAGATCAAGCCACTGCACTCCAGCCTGGGGACAAAGTGAGACTCCATCTCAAAACAAAAAACAAAAAACAAAAACAACAACAACAACAAAAAACAAAAATAGGTCCACTGAGCTACAAAAACCACTGACATACTTGATATATTTCATTATGCAATATAAAATTATTTTTTAATATCACCATTGATTTAATCAGAAATTTTTTTTAGTACTGGGAAGCTGTCAAGTTCATGGAGGCAGGCTCAGATTTTCCAAAATTCTAATTTTCATTTGAAAGCTCACATGTGATTGGCAACAAAGACTATGGGTTCTTTTCTTTGCTCACTTTCAAGTAAATATCTGCCAAATATCCTAGTGTACGTAACCAGATTACCGGTTCTTTGAAGTTAAAAATGATGTTCCATGAAAGAGGCGGCTAGCTTAGTTCTCAACTCAAATGATGTTCCTTAAAACAACCATATTTCATAATACAATAAAAATGTTTTATGAGCATTTCCATTTCCTCACACTGAATACGAAAAAGACAAAAAATATTTTTTAAACCCTGGACTTCACATCTTCATCAATGACATTTTAAATGTAACTAGCTTAAAAAAAATACAAGTGGGGAGTGATTTGAATACAATCTCTATTATGGTGTGACTATGTTGACCAGTTTTACCAATCATTAGTTTTACACAACCCAAACGTCAACATAGTGGAAAATTAGCAAATACCATCTTAGTTACTACCTCAGTACTACTACGAAAACAGTTCTGACTTCAGAGACCCTTGGAGTCTCCCACACTTTGAGAACCACTGTCATAAGTGGTAGCTATTATTTTTACAGGAGGCACTAGCTTTGGGGGCAAACCATAAAACCTTACTCAAGTAAGCAAATCCTCAGTTTCCCTGTTTACACAGTCAAAGATACTGCCACTTACCTTCCAGTGTTCTCGCAGGGATTATTCTGAGTTAATGCATATACAACAGTTAAGCACAGTGCCTGGACCAGAGTAAACACTCAAATTATAAAACAATAAGGTGAAGGAAAACGCTTTACTGTTTCAGAGGAGAGAAAGAGGGAAAACATAAAGAGATCTGAAAATAAAACTCACTGAACCATTTTACAGAAGTAAATGCCAGAAAGCATCAAACATTCACAACCAAAATCAGAGTTCTAAAAACAAATGTTAAGAGAAAAGTAACAAGAATAGGACACCTTAAACAAGCATGGTGGCTCACACTAGTAATCCCTGCACTCCCAGCACCTTGGGAGGTTGAGGTCAGAGGAGCGCTTGGGCCCAGGGGTTAGGACCAGCCTGGGCAACTTAGCGAGACCCCGTCCCTAGAATTTAAAATGAGAGAGAGAGAGAGAGAATAGAAAAAAAACATAAAATAAAATTTGGTTAAACATTATGTAAAATATGACAGAGCCTTAACGCAGGAAACTAAATTTCAAAACACTATAACAGAAGGTGGTTTGGGAGAAAAAATGCAAGGTTGCAAAAAGAATGATAAGGAAGTAACCAAGGAGTACAGGATTTGAAGAAGATAGAAGAGAGTCTCTCCCAACGTCCAAAGCACGGTGAGAAATATGCCCTCACTAAAATTCAATTAGCTGCAAATTCAAAATTCGAAAAGACTAACAACCAAAAAACACTTACCAACATAAGCTCCTAATTCTTGCAATTTCCCCTTAATGGCACTCTGAGAGAAAAAGAGTAAACGTGCATGTAAGAAACGCGGCTCTAGGAAAAGACAGACTCCGCAGCGCTGAGGCCACTTTGCTGGTGCGCGCACCGCCGGGTCCCCCGGGCGGGGGCGGAGGCGAGGAGGGGCCTCGCTTGCGCCCCCCCACACCCCGCTCCGGCCCCACGGCGCCCACCTCCCACAGCGGATCCTGAGCTGCTCGCTTCGCCGCAGTGGTGGCTCCCGCCGGGCCTGCAGCCGTCCTTCCGTTTCCCGGCGGCTACTTCAGCCGCAGCCCCGCTCGCCCGCCCGCCTCGGAGCCGTGCTCTGAGGCCGCAAATGCCCCCAGGCCCGAGGCGGCCTGGACCAGGAGGCGCTGCAGCCCACTAGGAGCGTCCGGCGGCGGCCAGGCCGCAGCGTCCACCCGGGCCCAAGGTCCCCGTTACTCCTGACAACCGCCCTCCCGCCCGCTCGCCCGCCGAGACCCGGCTTCCCACCCCCGTCCGGCGCAGGCCTCACCCGGATCTTGCGGCTGATCTCGGTGCCGATCTCCATGGCGCCGCAGCGTGCGGGGACTCAGCACTGCGTGCGCGTAGCTTACCCGAGCCTACAGCGGGATCCTACCCCGCAGCCCGGCCACCACCCCCTCCTCCTCCTCCGCTCCGCCCCGGCCGCGCACACGGCGTATCCCCGCCCCCGCCGGCACGGCGCGCCGGAGTGAGCACGCATGCGCCCGTGGCTGCGCCTGCGCACACCTACCCGCCAAACCAGCGCTCCGGTAAGGAGGGCGGTGGCTTGCGCTTGCTGTCTGCTACGCCGCTCCGCCTCCCGGGTGCGTCGGAGAGCCTTCGTTAGTCTCTGTGCTGGCCCTCGGCTTACTCATTTTATTCTCCTTTGAGTGGTAAGAATGAATTAAATGTGTAGCAGAAACATCTTGGGCTATGATATGAAATGCGAGTTCAAATCCAGCCCTCACTTACTGTTACTATGGTATCGGTCCAGGTATTTCAACTTTTCTGACCTGAAAAATGGAGTCTGCCTCTTAGAAGTTGCACTGCAATTACTCTTGAAGGGAAAATGGACTATCCAGAGCAACAGAACCAATCCGTCAAGTCTTTTCTTTGACTCTGCACTACCCGGGCCCTCCTGGGTTTGGTTCTGCTTTCCTTCTCCCGGGCCCACCCGTGGCCTCTCCCCGAGACGAATCCCCATCCTCCTCCTCTGAACACCCTCCGTGGGACAATACTTTTGTTCTGGGGACTTCAGCTGTCAACTCTGCTGATAATGACCGAATTTCCCATCAGCCTTAAGTTTTCACATAAACCCCACTCCCAACTTCTTTATTTATTTTTGAGACAGAGTCTCACTCTGTCAGCCAGGCTGGAGTGCAGTCGCGTGATCTTGGCTCACCGCAACCTCCACCTCCCGGGTTCAAGCGACTCTCCTGGCTTAGCACCCGAGTAGCTGGGATTACAGGCGTGTGCTACCACGCCTGGCTAATTTTTTGTATTTTTAGTAGAGATGGGGTTTCACCGTGTTAGCCAGGATGGTCTCAATCTCCTGACCTCTTGATCTGCCTGCCTCAGTCTCCCAAAGTGCTGGGATTACAGGTGTGAGCCACCACACCCGGCCCCCCAACTTTTAAGTGACTACTCTTATTTTCTTCAAATTCAGCACTTAAACAGAAGTCATCTTCATCTCGCCTTTCCCCACTCATAGGTTTCTACTCCTGATTCCCATATTTGTATCAATAGCTGAATTCTCCCTATCCCTGATCACAAAACTTGGGAAACAGGAAGCACAGAGAGATCTTTCTCCCTTATATCCACTAATTCCTGAGAGTGGTGTCTGTTGTCCATTGCTGCATAACAAATGCACACCTTAAAACACAAATGTTTGTCATCTCATGGTTTCTGTGGCTCAGCTTCACTGAGTCCTCTGCTCAGGCTCTCACAAGGCTACAATCGAGGTGTCAGGGAGGCTGTGTTCTCATCTGAAGGCTTGACTGAGTTTCTATGTTCAGGATCGTTCAGGTTGTTAGCTAGAATTCATTTCCAACTAAGTACAGTAACTCATGCCTGTAATCCCAGCAGTTTGGTAGGCTGAGGCTGGCGGATCACTTGAGACCAGGAGTTTGTGACCAGCCTGGGCAACATGGCAAAAACCTGTCTCTCTGTACTCAAAAGTACAAAAAATTAGCTGGGTATGGTGGCATGCACTTCTAGTCTCGACATAGGAAGCTGAGAGGGGAGGATTGCTTGAGCCTGGTTGGCAGAGGTTGCAGTGAGCCAAGATCACGCCACCGTACTCCAGCCTTGGTGACAGAGTGAGACCCTGTCTCAAAAAAAAAAAAAAAAAAAGAAAGAAAAAGAATTCATTTTCTTGTGTCTTTGTAAGGACCCTGATTTTTTTCTGGCTATCATCTGAAGGCCACCCTCAAGTCCTAGAGGCTGCCCACAGTTCTTTGTCAAAGGATTCTCTAACATTTCTGTTCACATAAGCCAGTGAAGGCCAGGCACAGTGGTTCATTCCTGTAATTTCAAATCAGTGAAGTAGAGGTGGGAGGATCACTTGAGGCCAGAAAATTGAGACCAGCCAAGAGCTTTTATCTAAGTTAGGCCCACTCAGGACCTGACCCCAAAATCAACTGATTTATTACCTTAATTACATCTGTCAAACCTCTCATTTTTGCCATATTTATTACCTAAGCAATCCACACTGGGGGTCAGGAGCAGGTTGTACAGTGTGTGGACAGCAGGAGCAGGAGCTGTGGGGCTACCTAGGGTCTGTCATATTGTCCTTTAATAATCTAATATCCTTTCTTCTGAATTCCTATGGCATCTATATGGAAGCTATTAGTATAATAATATACTGTCTGCAATGTTATTTCGTGTGTGTGTGTGTGTGTGTGTGTGTGTCTGTGTCTTCCCTAACAAAATTAAAATTATAAACTCTATAGAGCTTTATATTTCTCCAACCTTTCTTTCAGGATGCTGGACACATAGTAAGCTCTCATTAAATATTTATGGGGTAAAAGAAATTAAAGACCTAATTTACAAAAGCATTCCTCAAGGATAAATCCAGTGATCATACACTCATTCAACATTGATGACGGGCAGCGGAGCAGAATGACAGAGAACAAGGGCACTGCAGCCAGACTGTGTGGTATGAACCTTGGCTCTGCCACTCCTTCTGAGACCTTAGGCAAATTGCTTCTCATCTCTGTGCCTCAGTTTCCTTATCTGTGACTGATAAGGTATAATACTAGTTTCACCTGCAAACGGTTACTGTAAGGATGAAATAAGTTAATAGTTGTGAAGCATATTGAACTGTGCCTGCCTCATAGCAGCACTAACTTTCTGATTAAAAATTAAGTACCTTCAGTGGGTCAGATACTGTGCCAGGAGCCAGAGCACAAAGAGGAGCCAGACCAAGTCCCTGCTTTCATGACACTCACAATCCAAAAGACAGATGAATTGCTTTTATTCCTTTACCAACCGTTTCAGAACAACAAAAACACTTGTTTTACCATTACTAGATACCCAGTCCTCAGTCAATATTTACATAATATTGAAAATAACATTTAATAAAAGTAATGTTTTCATTAAAGCATATTCAGAGTAGGGAAACATTAAAATATATTCAAGAAAGTGTTAACTTTTAGCACAATGAGCTAACTTTTAGGACAACTATGGAATACAGACTGGAAGGCTGCTTGAGACCTCCCACCCTTAGATCTAAGATGTTACAATGTCTGGATCACAGGAGGGGCCACCCCACTAAACCAATGGTATTTGGTGGTCCAGTGCAATTTCAAGCACCTCGCTGTAAACTGCGGCTTCACAAACTACAACACATCTTGAAAATGTTCATAATGATGCCCTAAGAGAAGCCATTAGAGGGAGTAGGAGTGCTAGGCTTGGAAAAGACTAAACTGGACATTTTTTTTCCCCAGCTTGGAAGTGTTCTCTGATTCAGGGGAAACAACATGTTTTCCTCTAGGGGATAATATGAAGACCAGATTTCAACAAACCAAAGTGCCAGCTAAGAGGGCTCTGGGCTATCTTCCAAAAAGAGAAGATGACTGAAAAGAGCATTGGCTTTGAAGTCAGAAGGGCTGAGTACCAACCCCATCTCCATGGAGCCATGAGTCTTTCAACATTGCCCTCCACCACGCCTGCAATCTCTTCTCAGGTTGCATTTCAGTGAGATGTTGCACATTGTTTGGGTGCGCGCGTGCGCGCGCGCGCGTGCGTGCGTGCGTGCGTGTGTGTGTAGAAGCAGCAGGGTGTGGGGGAAAGGCGGTTGGGAGTACCCTCCTGTCTGCAAAGCTTTTCTTTTCTTTTTTTTTTTTTTTTTTTTTTTTTTGTTTTTTTGAGACGGAGTCTGGCTCTGTCACCAGTGGTGCAATCTTGGCTCACTGCAACTTCCGAGGTTCAAGCAGTTCTCCTGCCTCAGCCTCCCAAGTATCTGGGACTAGAGGCACGCACCACCACGCCCAGCTAATTTTTGTCTTTTTAGCAGAAACGGGGTTTCACCATGTGGGGCAGAATGGTCTTAATGTCTTGACCTCGTGATCTGCCCACCTTGGCCTCCCAAAGTGCTGGGATTATAGGCATGAGCCACTGTGCCCGACCCAAAGCTTTGCTTTTCTTTGAGTGCTCAGTCAACCTTTTGTTGTCCTTCCAGACTCAAGCAGAAGCTGATCACAGTGATTAAACAAACATTACCAGTTCATTCAGACTATATAATATAACCATGTATAAATTTCCTCACCTGCTACAATTACATATTCACCTGTTATTCCTATGCTGAGTATTTGAGGACAGGGATATGTATCTATTTACCTGTCTCCTTGCAGCACCTGGCTTCTATATGTGGGCTGAATGGAAAAATGTTTTCCAATAGTGATTATCACATAGCATAGACACACTTGGATCAAAGTCCCTAAGTGTTGGGAATTACAGTCACAGCAGTCACTTGCTACCAAGGCAGACATTCTTCTCCATTTGAACAAACACATTGCCAACATCATCATTTCTCTGATGTTCAGGGTAATCTATCCATAAAATTATCACTCTTTTATAACTGAAAAGGTGTTGCATGTGACACAGCATTGAGCATGGTAGACAGAACTTAAAGTGCAGATTCAGAGACCAAAGACTTCACATTTCTACTTCTAGCCCTCACTGTCCCCTTCCTCAGGGGTCATTATCTTTGTGTGGCAGGGCATTCATTCAATTTGGACTTTTGCAGATGATGATAACTTATACAGTGGGTATTTACCATGCTATCAAAACAGATTAACTTTTGACATTCTAAGAAAACACTAGTCAATGCACGCACCAAACCAAACCACAATTTCCTTTTTTTTTTTTTTTTTTTTTTTGAGACAGGGTCTCACTCTGTCGCACAGGCTGGAGTGCAGTGGCACGATCTCAGCTCACCGCAACCTGCGCCTCCCAGGCTCAAGCAATTCTCATGCCTCAGCCTCCCCAGTAGCTGGGACTACAGGCGTGCTCTACCATGCCCAGCTAATTTTTGTATTTTTATTTTATTTTATTTTACTTTAAGTTCTGGGGTACATGTGCAAGATTTTTGTATTTTTAGTAGAGATGGGGTTTCACCATGTTGGCCAGGCTGGTCTTGAAATCCTGACCTCATGTGATCGGCCTGCCTCAGCTTCCCAGAGTGTGGGATTACAGGATTGAGCC